AATAAAGACAAACAGAATAACAGTTCTTGGTCTTCCTCTTGAAAATGCCACAACTATTAAGGGAGTGTTTGGCAAAACCAAAACCTAGGTTTCAAATCACTTTTCTGCAAAACAAGGTAACCTCCTCCACATATTTACTTTATAATCCGTAAAAGCACTTTTGAAACCATGGTTTGGTTTCTATCCAAACACCTCCTAAATAGAATTAGCTAAGGTGCAAGCTCATTTCAAGCCTGTTTTAATCCCAGAGATCTTGAGTACATTGTGAATAGGTTTTCATTATACTTACAAATAACAATGCATTTTTATAAACAATTTTGATTTGAGATTTAATAATTTTGGGTCTCTTTTTTGAGATTTTCCCTATTTTAATGGTTCTACACTCTATAAGATAAATACATGAGAATGACAGTAATTTTTTCTCATTATATATATATATTGACAATATGTGGCCAAGCTTTCCTGGCTCTTCTCAGTCTGGGCAGAAACCAACGGGAGTACTGAAAAAGGAAGACACTGCGGATTACCAGGCCAAAGAATTATGGGCTCATGGGACTGAAGGCCCAGAGCAGTCACTTCCAGATTGCAATGTGACAATAACAATAAGTCAAGGCCCAGTGTCTATAGGCCTAAAAAGTCCAATGTTTAGACTGTTTGGGTTTTCTGGGCCTGTTTCTATATCTTTTCCTTTCCTCCTACTTTTTAGCTGCAATCATTAATTTTAATTTGATTATTTGAATATTTTAATTTGATTCAAAAGGGAAAAAAGAAGATTCAAAAGCTAACACCCTTAGTTAGGCTAGAAAATGACTCATAATGGATTATGCAAAATCTCTCTCTCTTTCTCCCCCTCTATATATATATTATATATATATATATGATGAGTGAGAGAGGGGAAACATCATACAACCTTTTTACTACCTTTCCTCTTCAAAAGCCTTAATTGGTTACCCTTTTACCCTTCGTCTATGATTTAATTATTATATATCATTATTTTGTGGTGAGAATCTCCATTTATTTGTTTTTTTATTTATAGGCATGATAAATAATTCTATATGCAAAGATTTTTTTTTTAAAAAAATCACTAGTTGTACATAATTTTTTTGGGGGTATAACTAGTTGTATATAATTAAGCTACAAGTGTAACCAAAGTTTTTTCCCCCTTGCCTTGTTGAGCTGCAAGAGTAAGGGAAGTCAAGTGTGAGCTAATGTGGAAAGAATAAGGAAATCTTTACCTAAAAAATGTTTTGATTCTCATTAAGAGAGATGTCTACATCTAGTACTTAATAATATTTCAAATAGAATTATCTACACTATGAGGATATCTATGCTTAGCAAAAAGAAATGTTATGGTAAAAAAGAGTTATACAAGTGGAACGAAAATACTTATTATAAAGTCAACATTTTAAGTTTTGGGTTAAAATGTGATATCGAACTCATATATGCATTTTTTTGAAAAAAAAATATTAGGCCTAGAATGGATGTCTTTGGTATAGGATATTATAATAATAATAATTAAGAAAAGAATAAGGGTTAATATAATTTTTTATTCCTAAAATTTGAGCCTATTTTTATTTTGGTCCCTCAAATTTAAACCCCTAGTTTTAGTCATTAGAATTTAGTCTGTCTTAAAATGTCAGTATCTGAAAGTGCAACAATATTAAGATACGATCTTATATGGATAACAAGGCATAGCGCAGTGAACAGCTTTTAAAAATGAATAATAATGACAAGAAAAAAAAGGAGTCTAAAGAGCTTTGTTTTGAGGACCTGTTCTTTTTTTTTTCCTTTTTATTATCTACACTTTGATACTGTTACACTTCTGAGGATTAATGTTTTAAGATGGACTAAATTTCATGAACTAAAACCATATGTTTAAAATTTGAAGGACTAGAACCAAAATATATCCAAATTTCAGATACCAAAAATTATATTAACACTAATAAATAATAATAGTAAACAACATCTTTTAGGTGGATCATGAAGATGCTACACCTTTCTTTGGTTAGTTCCCAGCTTCAGTTTCATTTTTCCCGTCATCATATCTTATGTGCACAGGAAAAACAATATCTCTGCATCTCTGATCTTCTTCGATCCAAAAGACATCTTTTTTTTTTTTTTTTCCCGGGACAATCTTATCTTTCCCCTTTGTTCTTTGAACCATATTGCTGCCCAGATGAAGAAAGAAAAATATTAGGGATATGGTTTAATCAGCTAACACGTACCAAACTTCCTTTGCTCTTTGATGGTCTCCAATCATATGGAGAAATTTTCTCTCCGTGTAAGACCATTTTAGTTTGAGAATTTCAACAATAACTATTTAATCTTTTTTATTGTTACTATGGTTAGGATTAGGACTATCCTAAATTTCTATTTTGTCTCTGACTTAGTTCTTTTCTGATAATTTTAAAATTAACGTTTTCTTCCACTTTGACCCAAATTACTAATAATATTGGGTGAAAGTTTAAAAATAACAACGTTAGATAATGACAAAGCATTATTCGTTAAAAGAATAATAGCCGCATGGACAGCTCGCGCGAGACCTTCTCGACTCAATTGGATCCTTAGCATATATTAATGCAAAACTATTTTTTTTATTGCACATATAAAATTCTCCAAATAAAAAAAAAATGCTCCTAGTAATAAAATATATGGCTTAATTTGACCCTGCTGGTCAATATGAAATAATTTTGCAGACTTAGTCCCGACAACTGTGTGGCACTTGTTAATTAGCTAGCAAATAAGCATAAGACCATTTATATTATCCTCTCTGTTTTTTTTTTTTTTTTGCCTGTTTGTGCATGACCTTTTTGATTGTCTGGGGGTTCATGCTGAATCAATCAATGATGTTATTATATATAAAAAAATCAAGAATATTATTATAGAATAATCTCATCATACATAAAAAATAATATGGCTGGCAAAGGATAAGATTAATTAAATTTTAACCATCTGGTAATGTCATTCTCAAATCTCGTTACTCGCCAGGCTCAAGTTAACCAACCAAAATAAGAAGAAAATAAAAAAAAATAGAGAAAGAAACTCCTTCCAATTCTTAATATAAAACCTTTTTTCCTCAATACCCTCTACTCTTTGATTATTCCCTAACTAACTAATGCAATCAACTCCTCTAACTTACTTTTTTTTGTTGAGAAAAACAATAAAAGGACTAAATTTCTCAATGATATAAAATTATTAAAAGGTCTGGGCGGAAGTGATTTTGCTCAAGTTGAATGCGTGTAAAAGTTAAAACAACAGCAGACGTTAATTCCTTAACAAGTAGTATAGGATATACAATTAATAATCTAATTGGACAGAGAGTGGAGTATTAATCATTTGCGAGTGCCACGATGTCGGGATGCCAGGAAGCAGATGAACCCAGAGGACGACGACATGAACAATGGCACACAAGAATTAATGTAACAATAAGTGTTGTTCTTGCTTTGCTTTGTTCGTAGGCGAATAAAGCGATGTCCATTTTCTCTGGACACCGTTTCTTCATTAGTCAGATAAATATGTTATTAATTTATGTTCCCAAGTCATATTCTGATTGGTCAAACGGGGTTCTGATACATATGTGTGTGTGTGTATAGAATACTATATGACTTGCCTCCTTCCTTAAAGGCGCGTTGAATATAAATAAATATATTTTCGTGTGAGGGAGGAACATTGACAAGAAGAAGCAAACAAAAGAGAGCATTAAATTAACAAGGTAGCATTGTGATCATAAATGTTTCAAATGTTTATTTTGTAGGTCTATATAACTATTTATGAATCTGTCTTGTTCCTTTTTGTTACCTGTCAAACATCTATATGGGGACATAGTGATCAACAATTGGAGCCCGTAACGAAACGGAAATTAAACAACATTCAAACTATTGGCTGATTTGTTGTTAATTAATTAAATAAACGGGGCAAAGCAAATAGCATTATATAAAGAATATATAGATATAATAGAAAGCGACAGTAAGTGACAGACAAAAATGAGATTCATCAAGTTGGATTTTCTTAATTCAATTCCTTCTTCGCTGTGTTTCCTTTTTTTTTTTTTTGGGTAGTTTCTTCACTGTGTTTCAATTGGGGCATATAGGGATTCAAGCCCTGTGACCCCTAGCTAGCTAGTAAAACCAGAGAATTGCTTTAAGCGACACAGCATTGGACTTGACCCAATGCTAAATCATCTTATTGAGCAAAACAAAGCACCGCAAAAGAATAAAAAGATTACTACTTAAAAGTCGGCAGTGTGTTTAACTATCCATTTCCGTGAATCATAATTTAATTGGCTCCCTCATTTCAATTCGTTCGTCTTCTAAGCCTATTAATTACTCGAACGATTACTTCTGAACAATTTATCACATGGTCCCCCAGCTCGTTTGAAGCTGTACTAGCTAAAACAAGAACGGCCTAACACACGCTACTCTAGCTCACCTTTATGTAAAAGATCATTTTCATCTCAGCAGGGGCTATCGATCTTTTGACCATCTGTTATATAATTCTATATATATGTGTGCGCTATCGCGTTGTTCAGATTATGTATCTCAAAATTCCTGCTACTTATCTTCGTCATGAGAGGCACGCAATTGGAATGTAGCTTTCTCTCCTTCAATCTTTGAACTCTTCATATAGTCAGAATAAAGAGTTAATGTCCTTAATTAATTCTTACTTTTCCCTTGTCAACTCCCAAGAGTTTCGTGATCCAAAGACGTTCACGGATACAGAAATCATTGGCAGCAAATGGGGAAAAAATAGTGTAAAAGAAGGCGGGGAAGCCAAAGGAAGAAGTTGTTGATGAGATGGGCTGAGTTATAATAATGTGTGAAAATCTGCAAAGATCCAAGAGGTAGCTTCTAAGATGGGTGATACACTCGGTGTTAGGGCTTGAATTGTCTTGACCTTCCTCTTTAGCCCATCCCTATTTAATCAAATATTTTCTGTAAATTTAGCTTCCACATCAATTCCTCCATTATCACTCATCTATCTTAAATGTCAGTAACAGTACCATGGGCACAGAGATTGGCCTTCTCTCCATGACCCAGATCCAAAAATTGTCACAATCCCAACACAACCATCCCAATCAGCTTCTTCAACCTCATCCTCTCCCAAACCCTAGCTCTTCTTCTTCTTCTTCTTCAACAACCTCCTGGATCATGTGGAAGCCTAGGGATCCTCAGGAAGAGGATGACTCGTGGGAGGTCAGAGCCTTTGTGCAGGATACCACGAACGTCATGGGCACCACTTGGCCTCCCAGGTCCTACACCTGCACTTTCTGTCGAAGGGAGTTCCGTTCAGCCCAAGCTCTTGGCGGCCACATGAACGTCCACCGCCGTGACCGTGCCCGTCTCCACCACCACCAACCACCACCTGCTGCTGCTTCTGTTCACAGCAACCTGACACCTCATCATCATCATCAAGAGCTTGTTGCAAACAACGGCGGATACTTTCTCTACCATTTGCCAAGCCCCGATGGGATTGGAAACTTCTCTGGTACTAGTAATGCTACTAATACTCTCGCTTCTTCTTTGAATGCATGTAGAGAACCAGTATCACCCACCACACTTCTCTCCGTTATGCCCTACCCACCAAGCAACTTGGTGTCAACTAGCATCCCCTCCTATGATTTTCAAGCCGAGCGGCGGCCTGCAGGATTCGTCAATTCTTCTTGCTGTGATTCTAGCAAACTGGAACAGCCCACGGCATCCTCGTTCGCTGGAAACGGCCATGAGGATCTTGATCTAGAGCTCCGGCTGGGGTACAGACCACCACCTAGCAGAAATCAGAAAACGGTGTGCCTGAGAAAAAGAGAATGATAATAATAATAATAGTAATTAGTTTGCTGATTAATTAATATCGCTGTTTTTTGCAGCAGTGTGGAAGAGAGTGATTGTTGATGTGTAAGCTGTGATAAACCTGTGTGGGTAATCTTTGGTGCAATTTCTCTCTTCTTTGGTTGATTGGATTTTGCTTTGTGTCTGATTGTTGCTTTTGTGAGTTGTCGAGACCAAAAGGGGTAATGCAGAGGGAAAGCAACTTTGGGGGACAGGGAAAGGAGAAGCCCCCCACACACCCCATGTAAATTTTAAAAAAAGGTGATTATCATTATAATTATATTAGAATTTCATTAAAAGAAGAATAATGAAAGGAGGTTAGGGTTTGTTTTTATTTTTGCTTTCTCTGTGTTTTTTCTTTTTTCGTCAGTTAGAGACTGATGATAAGGGCTGCAGTGGAGTGTCATTTTCCTTTTCAGATGTCTGATTGCGCATAAACATGTCTGTCTGGTTATGCATTTCCGTGGGGATTATTTTCTAGCCATACCTAGCCATCACACGTAACTAAAAATATATGTGTCCACCCTTCACACCCTATGCATATAGCTTGTTCTATATATACAGATCTACCATTTTCACTACATTTTGCTTTCTCATTTTTATTCTTTTCCTTTGTACATATTTTACATAGCACACAATAGAGATCAGGAGGCAAATATGCTCGCTGCTTAATTAATTAGCTTTCTAAATCATATCAGTGGAGGAATATAAATTTCTGTCATTGCGGAAGTTCACATATATATGTGTGCGCGCGCGCGCGTATCAGTTTAGTGAAATGTGTTGTTGGAAGCTACGCTGGCTCCTAATCTAATCTACACTTCATAGAGTTTTTCTGCAATAACCATAAATTTACTACAGTGTAATTAGTGGCTTCCAGCAGAATACGATTACGTACATACTCTCGTGTGAAAAAGATTATCATCATATCTTTCCTAACAAGCTGATTTGCTTTTGCAATTCCATATAATACAATAATTTCCATCAAGGTTATTGTTGCGCCCTGTTGTGAAAATGGCTTAATCAGTTGGCATTCTCCTTTTTTTTTTTTTTGGTGATGCTCATACATGCTACTACCTCAGGTTCTAAAGATAAGATTCAGTTTACTGGTGCAAAAATTTAGTTTGTAGTATAATTTATACTGCAAACTAGATTTTATATTTAGAACCAGAGATGGTATTTCAAATAACACACATCTAATGTTGCATTTTGGTTTTGAACGGAGTCTGCAATAAAAGATGTGTCTGCTTTCAGAATATCGGAGATTAATCTAATCTTTAGTTTGCGCAGTATTTTTGAACTCAAACGCGTGAAAACTTTCAAAGATTATACCACAAACGTAACACAAATGGATAACATGTAACTTATTATGTATGTGTACCGTACTATTTTTAGTCGACGATCAATATATATATATATGGGAAAATTGCAAATAAAGACCCCCATATGTAAAATTGCTATTCGGAATCCTAAATTTGAAAAATAGCAAATAAAATCGGGTCTCACTTTTGCAAATATGAAATGTCTGAAATGCCCTCAGCCAAATTGTGATTTGATCTACTGAAGTTGTCATTCATTAAAGTGAACTTGTCATTTCCCATAGTCAACTCGTCATTTGGCATACCCTTAGCCAAGTTGTGATTTGTTCTACTGAAGTTATCATTTGTTAAAGTGAACTTGTCATTTTTCATAGTCAACTTATTATTTGGCTGAGGGGCATTTCAGACATTTCACCACGATTTCATATTTGTAAAAGTGAGACCAGGTCCTTATGTGCTATTTTCCAAATTGAGAGTCTCAAATCATAATTTTATATATTGGGAGGTCTTTATTTGCAATTTTTCCCATATATAAGGTTAATATTTGTTTGAGAGATCACTTCTTTATCTCTGTTTTTTCATTCTGTTTTATAATTGGTTGACTGAACAGTCCATTCTGATCTCCTTTTGTTTTATTAGTGGCGACTAATCAATGATCAGTAGCCCTGTGCCTGCTAAGAAAATTAAGCAGGTACAGATTTTAAACCTAACTTCATATGTGAGTATTTCCAGCTTGTGACCACACAAACACAGAGTTTAGAGATGGCAAATATATAGAGTTGGGATGTTTAGAATTTTCTTTTTTTCTTTTTAATAAATGTTTTACAATTTTCGGAAATTTTAAAAAAAATGCAAGATAGAAAAGGGAGAGTGAAAAGAATGAAAGCGAATGAATCTCAAACTGTAAATGAGGTCATTTGTATTGTATTTTTTCTGAAATTTAGTGAAACTTTGAAAATCCTTATACAAATTTATATTTGGATGATTAACCAAGCTTATTATGAGGGCATACAATACTAACAAAACAGACTAAAATTTCTCGGGTGTTATTAAATAATTGTTTTGATCATTTTCTTTAACACAAGAAATCAAGAAACTTTCTTTTCAGCCAAAGGTGCGCATACTATGATGGAATATTAATTGATTATTAAACAATGCGTCATTTCGATGGCTTTGGTCTCAGTAAATACTTTCATTGTCAATAATTGAAACAACAATTGATTTATATTAATTCTCATTCAATTGCACCTTTGATCATTTTCTACTTTGACTATATCAGTCTAGCCAGTAATTAATATCTATTTTCCAATGAAGACTCCTTTAGTGTTTATGACTTGGCTGTAAGTAGTGGTTCATGGATATTACTTGACTGTGAGGAAATTATTTGGATGAGATTCCCGATTTGCATTTGGAATATGATGTAATATGAGGGAATTACTATAAGGTTTTAAGGAAGATCTTTAATCATCTAAAAGTTTAATCGCAACTAAGGAAGACAGATTTTAGTGCAAAAAAAATGACAACATATTTATGCACTCATTCGTTATTGAGATTTTTTTTACAATTTAATATTTTCCTTCGGATTTCATACTCAGTCTCCCTAACATAAAGTGATCAAATTAATTAAACTTGGTAAAAGAGAGGAAGAGGTTGTACTTTCCATTAAGGACTGTGAAAACTTTTTGTTTTTCATTCCATGTACTTTCTTGAGTAAGTTGCTTTGGTGCGCACTGTGGTTATGTATTTGAACCCAATGGCCTCTTCATCTGTCAGTTTTCTTCAAAAGGGCAATAATATTCATCTGTAATAGGACTTGCCCACCCCTTAATTACAATCTCTTTATTGCTGCTGCGCGCCAAGTCCACTTTTCTCTTTGTACTTGGTTTGTTTTTTACCCACTCAATCTCTCTATTAGTACCTCCCCGCAATTCACCAGCTTCTGACTTCTGAGCTCGTGGACCATGAGGCTAGGGACAGCGAATGAAAGCTACAAGGAACTATCAACAACAAGGCAAAGCAAAACGGCAAAAATGGTTTTGAGACTTTCCATTGTTTAGTTTCAAAATTAGCTGAACTTTAGCAAACAGCAATATAATGGAGGAACAATCAATTAACCATACCTGTCCACACGATCAAATACTAGGAGATGTCTTTGCTTTGCTTTTTATATATGTACATATATAAATATCTACGGCTCTTTTGGTTCATTGAATCAAAAGGAATGCAATGAAATGTGATATAATATAATGTAATAATGATTACATGAATTTGTTTGATACGTAATTAAGGAAAGATGATGCATAAGCATATAAAGGGTTTGGTTGAATTATAATGAACGTGAGAATAGATAGGAATAATAAATGAAGAGACAAAATGAATTAGGTGAATGTCTCTCAAAATTGCGTATTCCACTCTATCACTTGTGGTGCTGGCTGACTTCCACCTTGTATTGGAAAGATCATCCTTAACAGCCTATGCTACAGAGTAGATGGCGAGAAATGAATTAGGCTTCATGTCCCTCAAAAGATAGTCCCTCTTTGTATTTTGCAATTTTAGTTTTGATTGCTAACGAACCTTTAATCACAAAACTCAAGTTACATATCCATATATAGATAGAGAGTATAGCTATAACCAAAAGGCATGATACGAACAATTATATCTTTCTTTTTCTTTTGTTTTTTCCCCCGGTTTGGCAACCTATTGCTTGAAGGCATGGATTCGAACTCATGAGAAGTGCTACTATAGGGTACCCTTCATGCCGCTACACCAAGTATTAGCAATTAACAATCGTCTCTCTATCTTTTCAATTTGTGCATTCATACATTTGGAGAGAAATGAGTGCAAAAGATGTGGTTATGTATGATATTCATATCTCATAAATCACACCAAGTTACTTCTTAATTTACATATATTTATCTCTTTCAAAATGGAAACTTTTGAAATGTGGGTAAGTATTGCACTTATTGCTCAGTGGAAACTTGTGAAATCCAGGGACGTGCTATGTGTTGCGTTCAAATTCTAATTTATATTTTATATAAGAAAATATAACTGCAAGAACAGAGAACCATAAATTACATTTACTGGGCTCTCGAATATCTTTCTAAGTCATACACCATAAGAAAATATATCTGAAAGTTATAAGATAGAAATTGATTTTAATTTTCAGATAAGTAAAAACTTTGGATAAGTTTATTTATTTAAATAATGCTCGAGTCCTGCATTGGTTGAAAGTTTAAAAGGAAGGCTGAAATATGTAGTCTATTTTTACTATTCAACAACTTAATCACTCCCAAGATGTCAAAACAATACTTTAACTTGATATTGTATAATTATAAATTGTAAATAATTAAATATATAGTTATTCGAATAAAAAATAATCAAACAGAATTGCACAAAAATATAAATGGGATATCTGTTATGCGATTATAGTGTGTTTAGAATCATGTTGGGATGGGTCAAAATTACGTTTTGATAAAAGCAACTCAAAAGCCAAAACCATGTTTTGTTTGCTATCAACTGAATGCCATTTTAAATCATCGGTAATTGTTATGTTTGAGAAAATAATTTTAAATTTTTGTGGACACCATCGGTGCTAATAATTTGATCGGCCTATTATGTGTGTTATGAGTACTTGATTGGGAGAAAACCCATATTCGTCTATCCAAA